CAAATGCCTATGGACTCACAATCAGGTTGAAGAGGAAGATAGGTTACATAGCAGTCTACACCAGGGAAATCTACACAGAGCAAAAGATTTTCACCAGGGCTACAGGGTTTAAAGTTGTCACTGAATCCAGCTACCATTCAGATGCATTGACAGATGATGCACACGTAGGCCAAGAAGAAGAGAACCAGATTAGGGAGCCTATCAGGTCCTAGGAGATGGACTAATGATGTGCCATCAGCTTGGTTTTGTGCTCCGGTTCAAGTCAGAGGTCCACAGAGCGAGGTTCTGATCAGTTTCCTACATGGCTCTTGTTCATTTGTTTGACTGTCTATCTATGAAACATCTCCCATGTGCCCAGAACGCTGTGGGGAAGACAGAAAGGTACACACACACACACACACACACACACACACACACACACTGCTAGGAGCCTAGAGCTCAGCAAGTTTCTTTACATGCTTTACATATATGAAAGCAGCAATAAAACACAAAATCAAGTGGTGAGGTCATAAGGTCATAAGAGATGTGCCAATTAAATTTTAGGGGAGTTCAGAAGAGGAGAGAACACTATCTGTAGGTACAGTGTGTGAATGTGAAGCCTCTTAGCTATTCTTTGGCCTCCACTCTGACCCTTCTCCATTGAATTCTGCATGTCTTTGCCACTTTATCCTAAAACACCACTTTCAGCATGTCCATCTTTTTCTTAAAACCCTTTAATAATTTTCTATTTCCAACTGAACCAATTTCAAAGTCCCTTTCGGATGGCTCTATTATCTCGAGCTCTGCAGATGTGATTTCTTTCTCTTTTTGGGATGGGGTTGGTGGCGTGGTGTTTGTAGATTGCCTGCTATAGTTTTGCCTTTCTCATATATTTTGTGATTTTGGCCTGAGTGCCTCTTTCCTTGGGGATGTTGGCTGTGGTCAATTTTTTTTTTTTTTACTGTGTGCTTTGGGGTGTGGGGGCCTGCCCATGGGACAATTTTGTGTTTGTCTCTGCCTGGGGCTTAAGAATTTCTGTACTGAGAGATACTGAATTAGGGTTTTTACCTCAAGAGGCAAAGGATTTCCACATATGGCCTTTGAGCTTTATCCTGAACTGATGAACAAATATTCTGATTTCTGTTTAGGGATAGTCTAAGCTCTATTGGTTCCTGGTTTCATGTAGGGAGCCTGCTCATGCTTGTGAGGCCATGGGACCTCTGACCTTGATTTGGCATTAAACCAACAGACCCTGGGGCTTATGTTTTATTGAAGCCCTGGAGGCTTTATGAAGATAATTCCCTAAATCTGTACCTCTAACCTGACCCCTGACCAAATCCCAGAACTGCAGGCTCCTAGATCCAACTGCCTGCTTGTCATCTTTATTTGGCTATTTTATGGCCATCTCAGATTTAATATGGTTAAGTCAGGACTACTGATTTGTTAATATACATATGTTAAACACACTACCATGGCATACATAGGAATAAACACTTACCGAGTGCCTGTTAGATGCTGTCATTTTAATGGATGTTATCTCAGTTATGCCGTTATCTATGTATACATTATAGCTTATAGATCTATATACTACATAGCACATGTGTGATGTAGAGCACAGTTATCTCAATGAACTTAGATATACTTTGCTTTATGTCCTCCAACAATCTCAAGATTTACAAAAAAGTGCTTTTTAGATAACAGCAGTCCTAACACTAAGTGTTTATTCACGGTTCTGCTTTACTGACTTTGAGAGGTAAGTAAACAGCGTTGCAGCTTTCTCTCTATGCCAGAGGTTTTGAAAGTGTGGTCCACCAATTACATGCATCAGGATCACCCAGAGTTCTTGCTAAAAAGACTGCCTTTTGGACTCTCCCGAGCTAAACTTTTTGGGGATAGGACTCAGAAAAGCATATTTTTAAACAAGTTCTTCAGGTTACTCTTAAGTGCACTGTGGTTTGAGAACCACTGCCTGAACCCCTGTTCTCTTTTGGCAATTCATCTGAAATGTTTATGGGAGAGACTGTTCCAGGGAGCCCAGAAAAGCGGGCGCTGACCCACAGCCATTTCTTTCCACACTGAAATTGCCATGAAAACCAGGGAACCTGGTTTGGCCACACCTAAATGCCCATGAACATCTTGCTGAGCTGTAGTGCTGGACCCTACTTGAACTTTCCAGAACTACAACCGCTATTTAAAATTTTTTTCAGTGCTTTTCATCTTGTTGGTCTAAACACATAAATGTCAGCAGAGGATGATACAGCTTAGATGTCATTAGAGTTTCATTAACTGTCCTGGTTTGCCTGAGATGAAGGGGTTTTTTCGGGATGCATGAGTTTCAGTGCCCAAACCACAAAGGTTCTGGTTAAACTAGGATGAGTTAGTCACCCTAGCCAATGTGTCTTATGAGTTGAAACTAAATGCATCAGGAAAGAATATTGGAAATCGACATGGGTTATGAAATAAGGAAGACTAATGTGGGATGAAATATATTTGGGGATTAGTCAGATTTGTGGTGCAGGATTGAAGAGTTGATGACATTGAAGAGTGGGCAGTTCCTCTCACCCTTTAATAAAGGCCTTGTATCCAGCCTGTTGCGTGGGGTGGCTGCTCGTCTTCCAATTCATGTTGTGTTTGACAGCAGTGGCGGAACATAACTGGAGTGAGGAAGTTTGTTTCCTAGCTCTACGAGGAGGCTGCCTGTTCTGACCCAACCAACCATGAGTTGTTTGGTGCCTTCTTGGATGGTCCCAAGTTGGAGTGAGAGCAAGAGTGTACAATCTATTAGCGGTGGGGGACGTGGTGGATGGATGCATTTATTCTTTGTTCAGAAGTCTCTGGTCAGCTCTGGTGGGTGGGTGCTCTCTCTGATGTCTGTTTAGGGATAGTCTGCTGTCCCATTTAGCATCCTCTCCAGCAGGGGCAACTTAACCTTTAACATGGAAGGCAGTGCCTCGCATCCATGGTACTGCCTGGGACTCCAGAAACCCTCTGTCTCACTCAGCCACAATCCCTGCTGTTTTCCCCCTTTTTATTGAATGTATGGGGTGACAGTTGTTAATGAAATTATATAGGTTTCAGGTGTACAATCGTCTGTATATTGTATTGTGTGTTCACTACCTCAGGTCGTCTCCTTCCATCACCATTTATCCCCCTACACCTTCTTCTACCTCCTCCAACCCCCTTTCTCCTTGCTGGTTTTGACAGCCAGAAATCATGGGGGCTTCTCTTCCTGGCACTGGAACCCTGGGCTGACTTATTTACACTTTGACTCTTATGTGTGAGAGAAATAAACTATTATGATTGAACCACTATTATTTTGACTTCTGTTATAGCAGCTGCATGTTTTATCTAAGTAATGTAGCTCTCTATACTCCAGAGCCCTGCTTCTTTGTAACACCCCCCCCCCCCCCAGACATTGAAAAGGACCTCTATCCTCACTGTTAATAGTATCAATGTTTTGAGTCCCCCCGCTTTCCTGATAATGGGAACAGATTGCATTTAGCCTTTACTCTTCCCACTCCCCAGACATAGCTCCTCCATCCAATGAGAAACATGCATGGGTGGGTCAGAGCCAGGAGGGAGATTGTTGCCAGGATAAATCTCCTTATGGGGCTTGAATATGCAACCTTGACCTCATCATCAGCCAAGTCCACCAGGCTATGCCTTTCACTCAGCAGATTCCTCGCCAGATTTGGGTGCTCTGGCGTCCTCTAATCCTATTCCTGTCAGATCAGGGGAGGGCAGCGGAATAAGGTGTCTCTTGGCTGCTTTCAGTAACCAGCTCTTCTTCCCTCGGAGCAGAACTGCCCTTTACAGTCTTAATCTTGTGTGTAGTTGGGCTTTTTTCTTCTTGAAAATGGTTTCTTTTAATTTTTTCATGGAAAATGTCATCAAAGCTTCTCAGTGTAAGACCTGTAAAGTGTGTGTGTGTGTGTGTGTGTGTGTGTGAGTGTTTGGGCAGGATGGTAGACAGTGGGTGAAATGTGGAATGAAAGGGGAAATGATTCCCCATTTACTGGGTGGCCTCTTTGCGACAAGTGCTTTATCAGATGTTACATCATTTACTTACGAAGACAATCCTGAGTGGTAGGAATTATCCTCCATATCTTAGACATGCATAAACGGGTACACACATAGGTTGCCAGCCTAAAGTGGCAGTGTCAAACGTCGCTCCTACATTGGCCTTCCATCAACTTTTCCATACAAACTACTCACATCATTTGTTATATCTTTAAACCATAATGGGAAAGGAGAAATTCCATAAATATTTGGCTAATCTGATTATGGAACTGGCTGGAACTGGCCACACTGGTAATACAAGAAAAACAGTTATCTTTGGGGACCTGTGTTATGTAGGTTTTTCCTCCACTCAGAGTTGACTTCTGCCTTCTTGACCTTCCTCATCTGTGTACTGAACAAAAAGACAACAAACACATGGCTCTGGTTGTGTTAAAGGACACTGATTCCCAAACTAATGACACTGGTAAAAGCTTTTGTTTTAAGCCAGTAACAGTATTTTTCACTTGTTTTCTAATATGTCAATTCTTTCGATATAGTGCAAACTTTGAAATTAACATTCTAGACTGTTTTTTTATCTTCTAAAAAACCTTACTTATATTAGAATTATTTTTTACACAAACTTAAGTTCAACATTTGTCTTTACAGACAAAGAGAATTTCTCTGCCAATTTGCATGTGGGCAAGCCCATGGAAAAAGAGAAGTTTCTTTTTTCTTTTAAGTAACATTCATTCCTACTTAAAAATTAACAACCAATCAAGAATAGCCTTTGAGTCTATTGCCTTCGTATCATTTCCCAGTAATTAAAAATGTGTAATATAATTGTGCTGAAGCTTTATATTTCATGTTACACATACAAACGGGTCTTTTCAGTATATGGGGTTGACTGTCTGCATGCGTGCACACACACTTTCACACACACAATCATGTACACACATACACATTCAGCTACCCTCCTTTCTAACCACTGTATTGTAATGACGTCTCCCTCCTTTCTTCTTCAGGTTGCAAATTGGCAGTGGGTGAGTGAGGAGAAACACTGCCCCTTTCCCCAGGGCTGACTGCACTTTGCACCAATGTTCTGATGTCCCAAGGTGTTCTGATGTCCCACAGTGTTCTGATGTCCCAAGGTGTTCTGATGTCCCAAGGTGAGGTTGAGAAACAGCACCTGGGAGTTTCACAGGGCGCTGCTGCATGATTTTCCCATTGCAGGAAGGGAAGCCTGGCTCTATCCAGGCCTACCTTATCTTGGATTGTGACAGAGCTACTCCCAAAGCCTGCAGTTCTTTCTTCTGGTGTCATAAAGTACTTCAGGGAACAATTGGATCTTTTTCATTTTGTCTGCCTTATCCATGCAACCCTTCCCTGCTCATGATCAGGATTTCAGAATACAGCTCTTTGGATAATACAGTAAGCGTTGGGAATAATAACCGACACTATTTTTTTTAAATATTCAGATTTATTGAGGTATAATTTTCATATCATAAAATTCACCCATTTTATATGTACAGTTTGATTAATTTAGTAAATTTATATAGCGGTGCAAGAATCACTACAATCCAGTTTTAGAACATTGTCATCACCCCCAAGTCTCCTAGTGTCCATTTAATGTCAATCTTCATTCCCATCCCTAGTCCCAGGCAAACATTGATATACTTTCTGTTTCTATAGATTTGCGCTCTTTAGAAATATCATATACAGGAGATCACATAATATTTACTCTTTTGTGCTTGGTTCCTTTAATTTAGCATAATTTTTTTGAGGATCATTCATATTGTTGCAAGTAACATTAGTTTATTCCTTTTTATTTCTGAATAGTATTCCATTATATGACTATACTATATATATTCTGCTTACCCATTCATTTGTCAATAGACAGTTGAATTTCTTCCATTGTTTGGCTATAGTGAATAATGCTGCTATGAATATGGATGTACAAATATCTGTGCGAGTCCTTGCTTTCTCTTCCTTTGGGTATATACCTAGAAGTGGAATTACCTGGATTACATGGTAATTCCATGTTTAATTTTTTGAGGAGTCGCCATACTGGTTTCCATAGCAGCTGCATCATTTCACTTTCCTACCAATAATACACAAGGTCCCACTTTCTCTGCATCCTTGCCAACACTTGTTATTATCTAGGTTAAATTTTTAAATTTTATAACACTCATCCTAATGGTTGTGAAGTGATATCTCTTTGTTGTTTGATTTGCATTTCTCTGAGGATTAGTGATGAGCATTTTTTGATGTGCTTATTGGCCATGTGTATATCTTTTTTGGGGAAATGTCCATTTATGTCCTTTGCCCATTTAAAAATAGGGCTCTTTGTTTTTGTTGTTGAGTTGTAGTTCTTTATATATTCTGGATATCAATCCCTTATCAGATATATGATTTGCAAATAATTTCTCCCATTCTCTGTGTTGCCTTTTCACTCTGTTGATAGTGTCCTTTGATGCACAAAACTTTATTTTGATGGAGTCCAACTTATCTATTTTTTCTTTTGTTGTTTGTACTTTTGGTGTCATATCCAAGAAATCATTACCCAAATAAAATGTCAATAAACTTTTCCCCTGTGTTTTCATCTAAGAGTTTTATAGTTTTAGCTCTTTTGCTTAGATCTTTGATCCATTTTGAGTTAATTTTTGTACATAGTGTAAGGTAAGGGTCCAACATCATTCTTTGCATGTGGATATCTAGTTTTCCCAGCATCATTTGTTGAAGACTGTTGAATAGACTTGGCATTCTTGTCAAAAAATCCCTTAACCATATATGCTAAGGTTGACTTCTGAGCTACCTATTCTATTCCATTGGTTTATATGTCTGTCTTTATGTCAGTGCCTCACTATTTTGATTAGCATAGCTTTGTACTATGGGTTGAAATCAGGACATATGGAACCTTCAATTATGTTCTTCTTCATGATTGTTTGGGCTATTCAGGGTCCCCTGAGATTCCATATGAATTTTAGGATGGATTTTTGCATAAATGTTGTTGGGATTTTGGTTGACATTGCACTGAATCTGTAGATCCTTTAAAAATTTTCTTAAATTTATTTATTGATTTGAGAGAAAGAGAGGAAGGGAGAAGAAGAGGGAGAGGGAGAAGGAGAGGGAGAGAGGGAGAAAGAGAGAGAGAGAGAGAGAGAGGGAGAGAGAGAGAGAACATTGATTTTTTGTTCCTTGTTAGTTGGTTCTTATATGTGCCCTGACCAGAGATTGAACATGCAACCTTGGCTTATCGGGATGATGCTCTGCAACTGAACTACCTGGTCAAGGCCTGTAGATCCTTCTGAGTTGCATTGACATCTTACTGATATTGTCTTCTAATCCATCAATAGGGCATGCTTTTCCACTTTTGTGTCTCCTTTAATTTCTTTCAGTAATGTTTTGTAGCTTTCAGTGTACAAGTCATTGCCTCCTTTGTTGAGTTTATTTTTGTCTTTTATTTGTTTTTATGTTATCGTAAATGAAATTGATTTTTTATTTTTTCTATTGTTAGTGTATAGATATACAACTGATTTTTGTGCTTCCCTCATAACTTTAAGAGACCCACCACCATTTGACATCTAGGAGTTCTTTTGAAAAATTTGACCCATTCTGAGTCCTATTTCTTTATATGCACTGGCTCCCTTCACCTATTTCTTTGACCCATGGGAGTTTTATGGGTCACCTCTTTACCTTTGATGTTCTGAAATTTCACAATGATGTTCCTTGATGTGGATTTTTAAAATTCACTATGCTAACCACTTGGAATATCCTCATGTCCTTTAGTTCTGGGAAACTTATTTAATTTTCCCATTAGTAATTTCCTTTCCATGAATTTTTCTATTCTGTCTTTATAAAATTCTTATTATTTGGATTTTGGCCCCTTGGGTTCACACAGATATTCATACTTTTCTACTTGTGTTTTCTAATTTACTGTCATTGTCTTCTAATTTATGGTGATTTCCTTAACTTTTAATTTAAAAATTTTTAATAATGTTATTTTGGTTATCAATTTTAATTTCTAACAGCTTTCTTATTTTCAAGGTGAGCCTTTTAAATAGCATTTTACTTTTGCTTTCTGGCTGGGAAATCATCTTATCTCTTGAGGATATTATTGCTCTGTCTACTTTTCTGGCATTTTTTTCTCATATGTGTTTTTGAATGTATCCTCTATGAGATGGATTTCCGCCAGGGTCCGATGATCCTGGGCTCTATCCAGGCATAAGTGGAGGCTGTTTGAGTGGAGGAGCTTCACTGGGAGGGGTACCGATGCGGCTGCCCATGGCCCTTTTCATGGCATCCCTCTAGTATCAGGATATGTCGCTTTTTTCTACCAGAGAAGTATCATCCAGTCTCCTGCTTCAGAATTCTGTTGATGGGTGGCAGCATGTACTCAGTTGCTTGCATTCCGGACACAGAGCAGGAAAAGGTGAGGATCGTATGTCTCACCATGTAAAGAGTAGACTTTCATAGAATTGCCCTATTTTTACTTGTTGTCTAGGTCCTGTCCTTTGACGAACCCAGCTCCCTGAATTCAGAACCTCTTTGGTTAATTTTTTTCCTTGAGTCACAGGGAAGCTAGATGCTTGGCTGCTTGTGTTGGTGACTCCTGGAAAGTCTCTAAAGAAAGACTTTCAATCCTTTCTCTTCTTTTCACCCCAACTCCCCCACCCACAGGTTTGTTGGCTGAAATTTTGTATCCAGGCTTGCCAACGCCACACTGTTTTGAATATGGTGGCTTTGTATTTAATATCTGGTGATGTAAGTCCCTCCTCACTATTCTGAATTTTCTTAGGTTTTCTGAGACATTTTTTATATGAATCAAAAAAATCACAAAGCATTTCCATAGAATCATACACATATTATTATAATAATTTAATTGAGTTTTCCAAATGATCCTGTTGGGATTCTAACTGCATTCTTATTCATTCTTGTATCTCTAGGGCCTTATGTAGGGCGTGGATCATGTTAGGCTTTCAAAAAACATCTGTTAGATGGAAATAAACCTCTGATTCCAATTCCTGTGCTCTTCCTATTACCATGTCCTTTTTGATTTGTGCTCACATCACAGAGCCAGCTGGTAGCAGAACCAGAAGAACTCAGGTGTCATAACTCACCATCCAGTGCTTTTTACCACACGTGCCTGTAAAACAATTCTGAGCAGTTACACACAGTCCAGCGTACAGGCCATGCCCGTGCAAATGGAAGGTCACAGAGCCATGGAAGCCAAAGTGCTTTAAAATCCCAAAGAAATATCTCGCCTGGGCCAACCGGTCTCCATCCCATAACTAGCTTCTGTGCGGGGGAGTGGGATGGGCATCCTCTAGCCCGGATGGGTACCTTTATAGTGGGGTAGAGCGAATGTTGCCGAGTGTATTTATGTTTTCCCATAGGAGGAGCCATATTTCAATGGCATAAATGTGAGTGCAAAAGTAGGATGGTTTATCTGCCACGTCTGATCCATGTGGAGTTTTAGTAATAAAGTTTATTAGGGCCCCTGATTTAATATGACACATTTCCAGTGCAAATTACTCTGAGATCATCGTGTTCACAAAATATGACAGAAATCTTTTAAGTGTGAGCATAAGTTCTGAATTAATTTAATAACCCAGTCTGGGAAAAGGCATGTGGTTTAAAACATAATATTATGCAATTATGCACTGGGCTCCTACATGTCTCTTTCACCCACCCCCACTTCCCATGGCACCTTTCAAAAGCCCTTCTTCCTATCTCGAGTCCCCTAGCCTCTTCTCAGGGAGGTTTGGAAGAGGATGTACTAGCGTGGCCAAGGCCAAGAGGGTCCATCCTTCTGTGCCTGGGGGCCCTTGACACAGCTCAAGGTTTTAGTTCTTAATGGTGCCCACTCCAAGGGAATGGACAGGGACTGATGTGAAAATGGTGCTCAGCCTCTATGATACACCTCCTGTTAGTGGTTTGGGAGGTGGTGGGAGAGTGAGCATGACATAACATTGGAGGGCCACGGCTGCAGGAGCACAGACACAACCCCTCCATCGTTCCAGATGGGAAAAGAATGACAGCAGCCAAACACAGGCCTGGGCTCTCAAATGCACATGAAATCACTATGTAAATTGTGAAATACAAGTCATGGTTCTATTTATCTCCTGGCAGTGTAAAACTAAAACAGAACAACATTTCCATCAAGATAGAGAATAGAAATAAAGAAAAAGGATGATTCCTTTGGCATAACTGACCAATATGACTTTTGGGGTCTATCTTGTGAACAGAACTCTGACCATCTTGTCAAAGAAAAAAGTAACCCATACTCCCCACTCCTGCTCAGATTTTATAGGAGCCAGGCTCGGCTTCCTGCTCACTCACTCAGTCACTTCCTAGGCAATCCTGTGCTTTTCCTGGGCCTTATGCCCCCCTTGTCCTGTTCGAGTAGAATGGGACCCGGGGCCAGAGGAAGCCCGAGTCCTCCAAAGCCATGCTCTGGTGCGGCATTCTGGTGTGTTTCCCATTTCAGCATCCAAGCCGAGAAGGGAAGGGCCCCCTGAGTGCCCAGGGATCAGACCTTTTTCCTGACTGTGGTGCTTCTGACACTAGAACAGGAATGGGCTCCAAGTGGATAAGCTCCTCAGAGGTGGCCACTAGCAGCTCAGAAGGGAGGCACTCCCACTGTCCTCATTTCATGGGGGGCACCATGGAGAGTGACTATCATTCCTAGTTCAGCTTCCCCCATCACATGTAGGAACTGCCAACAGCAAGACCTCAGAGTGAGGTTTATTTATTTATTTATTTATTTAGTTAAAAATGTATTTTTATGGACTTCAGAGAGGAAGGAAGAGGGAGAGAGAGATAGAAACATCAGTGATGAGAGAGAATCATTGATCAGCTTCCTCCTGCATGCCTACACTGGGGATCAAGCCTGAAACACAGGCATGCGCCCTGATAGGAATTGAACTGTGACCTCCTGGTTCATAGATTGAAGCTCAACTACTGAGCCACACTGGCTGGGCTAAGAATGAGTTTTATCAAGAGACCCCCACACCTCTCCTTCTAGGGAGAAGTGGCAGCAGCCGCCTTTTCAACAAGGAGGAGCTGTTGGAGGGATGTTCTCCTGGCTGAGGAAACCATATCCATCCACCCCACACCCAAAGGGCTCTGGTGCTGGGTCTGTGTGAACCCCCCTGGCTGGTTGCCTTCCTCCCATTTCTGGAGCTTTCTTCGCCTTAGAGGTCTGCTCAGGTCCCACCTCGTCCATAAAACTTTCCCGGAAAAAAACAGTCAACAATAATGTCTTTCTTCATGGGCTTCCCATTGCATTTGCTACTTAAAATATACCTTTGGCACTCAGTGATATTCCCGTTAGCTCTTGCATTGTGTCCTGTCTTCTTTTGTTCTCTAATTACTTCCTGTGGGCAAGTCTTGTCTGACCAGCCAGGCTATAAATGCCAGCCCCGTCCAAGGCTCACATGTTGGGGAGGGAGGCTCCCAGTGGATTCTTGCCTATTTAAATCAGGGAGAAAACCGGAGCCTGGTTTATGCGATGCGGGTCAGGGTTGGGGATGTGCCAGCCTTCCTGAGGAGTGGGCTGTGCCCTCAGTTGGGCAGGGTCTGAGGAGCCGGGACACAGGACATGTTCTCCTCTGGTTTCCTACGCCTCCCTTTTCGCCCCCTGCACTGGGGAGAACCTGGCCAGCCTGCACCTCCGTCTGTTCTCAGGACCTCTGGCCTCTGCTTCTCTCTCCAGTGACGGTACTTGAATCCCCCATTTCCTTGTCTATAAATCTAAACCCTTTAAAAATCAGCTCTAGCCTTAACCGGTTTGGCTCAGTGGATAGAGCATCGGCCCGTAGACTGAAGGGTCCCGAGTTTGATTCCAGTCAAGGGCACGTACCTCAGTTGCAGGTTCCCCAGCCCTGGTCAGGGTGTGTACAGGAGGCACCAATCCATGTATCTCTCTCACATCGATGTTTCTCTCTGTCTGTCCCTCTCCCTTCCACTCTCTCTAAAAATCAATGGAAAAATTTTCTTGGCTGAGGATTAACAAAAAATAAAAATAAAATAAAGATACTTAAAAAAAAAATCAGTTCTAATGCCATCTTTTCCAGAAAGTGTAGCCTGATCCCTCAGCTGAAAGTTCCCTTTCACTTCACTGAACCCCACTGGCATCCATTTACATCTCTTTGATGGGGCTGGTCCCCTTCTCTTTTTAGTTACAATATTTGTTCAGGAACTCCTTTTTTTTGTATTAACTTTTCTATTGTTGCTGTAACAAATGACCACACACCTAGTGGCTTAAAAAACACAAATTTATTATCTTACAGTTTTGCAGGTCAGAAGTCCAACATGGACCTCACCGGGCAAAAGTCAGGTGTCAGCAGGTCTGCATCCCTTCTGGGGACTCTAGGGGGCCTCCGTTTCCTTGCCCTTACCAGCTCTAGAGGACACCCTCATTCCTTGGCTTGCGGCCTTCTATCTTCTTCAAAGCCAGCAGCATCGAATTTCGTTGGCTCTGCTTTCATAGTTACATTACTGTTAATGATTCATAGGTTAGATTGGGCCCACCTGGATAACCCAGGGTCATCTCCTGTCTCAAAGTCCTTAACTCGAATCACATTTGCACCTTAATTCCCTTTTGCCATTCAACGTAACATATCCACAGATTCCTGAGATTAGGAGGGGGCATTTTCGGGTATCTTCTTCAAAGCCAGCAGCATCGAATTTCGTTGGCCCTGCTTTCATTGTTACATTACTGTTGATGATTCATAGGGTAGATTGGGCCCACCTGGATAACCCAGGGTCCTCTCCTGTCTCAAAGTCCTTAACTCGAATCACATTTGCAATCTTAATTCCCTTTTGCCATTCAACGTAACATTTCCACAGATTCCTGAGATTAGGAGGGGGCCTTTTTGGTGGAGGGCATTATTCTGTGCACCACTTCCCCTTTAGGTTTTTCCTTAAGATTGTTCAATATGTATTTTTAAAAATTCAGTTAAGTTTTAAGCACAGTTAAGAGCTGGGGATTTAGAGAGGGGCGAGACATAATATCTTCCCTCAAGAAGTTTAAAACCTAGTAGGCAAGACAGACACAGAAACAATAAAAAGCAACTGACCAGGGTGGTAGTGGAAATGATTGTGGGGAGTGAGTGGAGGTTGTCCAGAGAAGGGGTAGGTGACATTCTCTGGAGTAAGTAGGGTGGGGGCTGGTCGGGAAAGACCTCACCAAGGAAGTGGCAATTGATTAGGTTCTGAAAAACAGGCCATGCTCACCGAGTGATCGCCAGGAGGCAGCCTGGTGTTTGGAGGGATGTCATACATGGTTTGGGTTGCTGTAGCATTTGGCATGGGAGAGGAGCAAGTGGTGGGGAGAGGAGTCTGGAAAGGCTGGCAGGAGCTGGGTCACAGAAAGTCCTTAACTCGAATCACATTTGCAATCTTAATTCCCTTTTGCCATTCAACGTAACATTTCCACAGATTCCTGAGATTAGGAGGGGGCCTTTTTGGTGGAGGGCATTATTCTGTGCACCACTTCCCCTTTAGGTTTTTCCTTAAGATTGTTCAATATGTATTTTTAAAAATTCAGTTAAGTTTTAAGCACAGTTAAGCACTGTGCAAGCAGCTGGGGATCTAGAGAGGGGTGAGACATAATATCTTCCCTCAAGAAGTTTAAAACTTGGTAGGCAAGACAGACACAGAAACAATGAAAAGCAACTGACCAGGGTGGTAGTGGAAACGATTGTGGGGAGTGGGTGGAGGTAGTCCAGAGAAGGGGTAGATGACATTCTTTGGAGTAAGTAGGGTGGGGGCTGGTTGGGAAAGACCTCACCAAGGAAGTGGCAATTGATTAGGTTCTGAAAAACAGGCCATGCTCACCGAGTGATCGCCAGGAGGCAGCCTGGTGTTTGGAGGGATGTCATACATGGTTTGGGTTGCTGTAGCATTCGGCATGGGAGAGAAGCAAGTGGTGGGGAGAGGAGTCTGGAGAGGCTGGCAGGAGCTGGGTCACAGAGGCCTTTTATGCCAAGAAACTGGGATTGATAGTTGTGGGAGATGAGGGGGCCTTTGAAGGCTTTAAGGAAAATTATGCCAGAAAGTTTGGTGGAAAACCATAAGGGAGTAGTGACACACAAGCCGAGAGGAAAGAATGTCACAAAGGGGTGATGATGCATCATCAGTGTGAACATTCGAAGGAGGTCGGGTCATCAGAGGAATGCTCCCCATCATTGGGTTTGACAGCGAGGAGATTTCTGGTGTCCTCAGTGGGAGCAGTTTCCATGGAGAGGTGGGGCTAGAGGCAGCCTGCAGTGGACTGAGGGGTGATTGGGGGGTGAGAAGGGAAGGACACGTGGTAACAGCAACTTGGCCAACAAAATGAGGAGAGCTGTGGTTGGTAGCTAGAGACCACGAGGGTCTTGGGAAGATCCTGTGGGCCAGATCTATACCTTCTCTACCTCTGGAGGTCACCCCAGCACCTACCACAGTGTGAGACACATGTAGATATTCTGTAATGTGTGAAGAACGGCGGAGCGCACCTCACGCGTTTCCTGGAAGAGGCTGTGGCACCATCTCGGATTTGCTCACCAGGGATGCCTTGCTGTCCAGCGGGGTTCTGGGAAGCAGCTGAAGTCATGAGCTCTGTTCCCAATCACGTGCTTTCCCGAAGCTCGGAAGGCAGACGGCCAGGGTGTCAACACCTCAGGTCACACCACATAACGCAGAGCCTAATTTGACTTTCAGGCTGATGTCAACATTTCGTTACCTTGCTGCGAAGCCCAACTTGAAGACTACGTTAATTTACATTTGCCTGCGCTCCAATAATGCGTTCCAGATCAGCGCCGGCAACTGTGACACTGAGGTAGATGCTGGCATTTCCTGGATAGAAAAAACTCCTTCCTCGTGTGTGGGAGACAGTTTCGGGGCATTAGTTCCTTGGGGGAAGTTCCACCAGCTCACCAGGTAGGGTAATCCCATTTAAAACCAGGGAGCCACCACACGTGAAAAGAGACTGGTCCTTCATACTATGAAGTGATGGCATTGTTATGGGCGCCCCAGTTTCAGGACCATTCTTCTCAAGGTTAAAATAATTCCCCCAAGCCCTAGCTGGTTTGGCTCAGTGGGTAAAGTGTCAGCCTGCGGACCAAAGGGTCCCGGGTTCGATTCCGATCAAGGGCACATTTGCAGGCTCCTTCCTGGCCCAGGCCCTGGTTGGGGCTCGTGCAGGAGGCAACCAATCGATGTGTTTCTCTCACATCGATGTTTTTCTCTGTCTTTCCCTCCCTCTTCCACTCTCTCTAAAAATCAATGGAAAAATATCCTAGGGTGAGAATTACAAAGATAATAATAATAATTTCCCCCATAAGGTTGGATGCGCATCCCCAGCCCAGCATGTGGGGAAGCAGGACTCCTGCAGAGTCACAGGGAGAGTCCTCTGGGCTCTGTCTCTGGGACACCAGCCCAGGTCCAGGTGCACAACGAGCCCTCCTGGAAGGTGTGCATGTTTCTAGTGCCACAGCCCCCCATCTGGAGTTCGTATGGAGGGGGTGACGGGAAGGATGTGGAGTTCTCTGGACTCTGAGTGCGCTGTCTCCCGTGCTGCCTCTCCCCCAGCATCCCAGCCTTGGTTTTGACCTCTGTCCTCCCTCCCCATCCCCCCCCTGACTGTCCTCAGGGCGTGGTCCCTTCTCGGCTTCTCTTCCTGCCCTCCAGCACCAGCAGATGCTCCCCATTCTAGTTTTATTATTTTATTTCCATTATTTTTTGGGGGTGTGCGTGTGCGTGTCTGTCTCTGTCCCTAAGCCGCGAGCCTCTGTGTCTTATTTAACTCAGTGTTCTCAGTGTCCAGCACAATGCTTGGGGCCTAGCAAGTTCACGGAACAGAAGAACAAATATATAAATATGCCACTGCTAGCCATCCTTCAAGGCTCACCCGGCTCACTCTCTATTGCCCAATTTCTTTCAGACCAATCATCTCTCAATTCTTACCCTTTATTCAACAAGCATTTATTGAGCACCTATTATGGCATTTGGTGCTATGAATAAATTTGACTAGATTCCTGTCTTCAAGAAATGTTAGGAATAGCTGAAAATATAGATAAGTTACTCAACAATTGAGATAGATGCTATTATAGTGAAACAGTTGCAGACTCATAAAGGCCATTTTTAATAACCTTAGAAGATTTATTTTAGTGAACGTTTTATCACTTTGGTGCTAGAATGAAATTTTAATGGAGCCAAGCATAAAACCCTGAATTTGCTCTTCTGTTGTATCACAGAGTAAACATTTTTCTAAATTATAAAATAATGTGTTTATTATAGAAATTCAGGAAAATATAAAAGTAAAAAGGAGAAATAAAATTATTAACTCACATTCAGAGATAACTACTGTTAACTTTTGGTATATATCCTTTTAGCCTATTTATCATCTACCCATAACTGTCTTTTTTTAATTTTAGAAAAACAAAACATAAAGCTGGAATCCTGAGAGTTTTTATTCCTTTTCCCCTTTTATTATAAACACTTTATTATGAAATATTATGGAAAATATGACTGTTAATGACTATGTAATATGACTGTACCATGATTAAAATTAAAAGTATTCTTATTGCATTGGATTAAGATGGTTTTCAATTTTTCTTTATGATAATTAGTAGGAAAATCTTTGTATAAAATTCTGTATTATTTACCTATTTTTTTCCTTTTTGAGGCATTCATCTTTTTCCTATTGATTTTTTTAAAAGCCCCTTTACATATTAAGAGCATCCATCTTCTGACATATTTATTAAAAATATATTTCCTGGTCTGTCTTTTAATTTTGCTTAGTATAAGGTTTTTAAAGCCAGAAAGGATCTTTGAGGACTTTAAATCTAACTCCCTCATCTTAAAAACAAGGAAACTAAAGCCAAAATGTTCAGGTGACTCCCAGATGGCTTAGAGAGCCTGCAGCAGGGCAAGCCTAGAACCCAGGACCCTGGGCCTTCAGTTGGGAACCCTCGGCGTCTCCTCCAGCCATGGGCACATCAGTACTGATCGCGTGTCAAGTTCTTTGCTTTCCAACGGGTTCATTTGTGCTGGTGTTGCCTTCCCATGTGAAGGGCAGGGGTTGTCTCTCAAACCTGTTCTCCATCTTCCCATCCGTTCCCGACCCTCCTTTCCTGCCTCCTGCACATTACTTAGCACACGGCTAGGAATTTGATCAGTACTTTTTGGTTGATACACTGGTTTTTAAAGAGTGTCCAGTAATGATGATGCAAAGTATCTCCTTCCATGCTTACAATCAATCCACAAGGAAGGCAAGGCCTAGAGCGGATAGTGAGGAGAGCAGATTGCCAGGACTTACGCAAGACCTCACAGCTAGACCACGGCAGCACCAGGACTGCAACAACGTTCTTTTGACTTCAAACTCTCAGTTCTTTCTGCCGCACTGAGTTCTCTTTCCCACAGGCCCTTGCTTCTGCCCCACAACCCCCAACTGGGGCAAAAGCTGGCCATTGTTTTTGACTCTGGGGAGGGTTGAAGAGGTGAAGCAGGAGGCCAGCTGGTCACTCCTTTTCGTACAGGGAGCCAGGACCATGGGGCGAGGTCTTGCTGACTGAAACCTCAGAAGCCCGTGAACTGGAGCCAATGTCATGGATGCAGAGGGTCAAGCAGAACTCAACCTGGGTTTTTATTTTCTTTATTATTTTTATTGAGGTAAAATTCATATAGCACACGATTTAATCTTTTTAAAGTGAACAATGCTGTAGCATTTAGTAATTCGCAATATTGTGCATTACTTCTATCTAGCCCCAAAACATTTCCATCACCCCAAATAAAACCCACTCCAAAGCATTTCATCACCCCAAATAAAACCCGGACACACTGAACAGTCACGCCTCACTCTCCCCTTCCCCAGCCCTTGGCAACCACTAGTCGACCTTCTGTGTCTGTGGATTTACTTGTTCTGGAGATTTCATGTGCATGGACCCATTCATCATGTTACTTTTGAGCCCGGCTTCTTTCACTTCGCATCATGTTTTCTAGAACAGCCATGTATGGCAGGTGCTAGTACCTACCTCCTTTTTATGCCTGCGTGATATCCCGCTGTATGGATGTGCCACATTTGTTTATCTATTCACCTGTTGATGGACATTTAGTTTGTTCCCACTCAGCTTGGGTATTGAGGGTAAGGGCCCCTGAAAGCCAGGATCCCTCCAGTCCTAAAATCAACCCTCTCTAGAACCACCACCAGGACCCCTGTTTGAAGATGCCTTTCTCTAGGGGAGAAAGACGCCTCTGGGAGCTCAGCTGAGGAGCAGAGGTGTGAACACGGTGAAGGAGCTCCCTTTTGGGGGATTCTTAGGCCCCTGACATGGGTGGGTGGCGCAGCGATGTGGTGGGGAGTGTGGACCCCCTCCTGGCCCAGGGCTGCTCTTCGGATCCCCACTGCAATCCTCTCTCCTCCACTTCGTTCACAACTTCAATTAGCCCATGAACTCGAGATGCTTCATCAGCTGGCTGGATCAGCAGCAAAATTAAGCCGTCACGTTTATGAACTGCCCTGCGAGTTCTGGGAGGGACTCTGCATATTTTACATTTAATAACTTGCCTCTCGTTTTTATTTATAATGTTAATAATGATTTGGGGGTTGCTCTGGGCGAGCGCAGGGAGAGAGAGAGAGAGAGAGAGAGAGAGACTTTGACACAGAAAGAGGGGAGGACATGTGACAGGGATGACAGCTCTTACCCCTGTTATTAGCGGCCCCTGCCCTGCCCTACCCCACAGGAAGGAGGGGCAGCCCCCCTGCAGGTGGTTGGTTGCTCAGGCCTTGCAGACTGCTCTTTCTCTGGGGGCCCAATGACCAGGAGCTGGGCAGGAGTCCTGGCGTGTTACTGTCTGCCTGCTCTGATGTGGTGTGGGCTCCAGGGCACTCGGTGGGCTTTAGGAAGGCCAGTCCACAAGTGAGGGCCTTCTTCCCCTCTTTCCTGCCCTCAGGCCTGACTCTCTAGCTTCCCCTCAGGCCTGTCCTAGGGGGAACAGGTGCCAGATAGGATGAAAGAAGCAGGGGTTTTGCCCCAGACATGTTTCAGAGGGTGCCTGTGTGATTAGAGCAGTGGTTCTCAACCTTCTGGCCCTTTAAATACAGTTCCTCATGTTGTGACCCAACCATAAAATTATTTTCGTTGCTACTTCATAACTGTAATGTTGCTACTGTTATGAATCGTACTGTAAATATCTGATATGCAGGATGGTCTTAGGTGACCCCTGTGAAAGGGTGGTTCGACCGCCAAAGGGGTCGTGACCCATAGGTTGAGAACCACTGGATTAGAGTGTCCCTCAGCATCTTTCAGGATGAGTGTTTTAGTGACTCCTCATTTTGGATATGAGGACATTAAGGTCTAGAGGGGCCAAGTGACCTTCCCAGATGACCAGCTGGTGACCGGTAGCACTAGAGGGGCCCGGCGGGCCTGGGGATTCCCTTTCAGGGTGGGGAGTGGGGGAGCCAGCCTCTTAGCTCACCCACCTGGGCTCAGTCTGCAGCTCTGCCTCTGACTAGCCCCGGTTCTCTGGGCCTCAGTTTGCTCCCCTGTAACACAGGAGTAACCCAAATATCCATTGCACAAGATTGCCGGGCCATATACTCAAGATCAAGGCAGTGAAAGCTCTTGTAAACTAGCGATCGCCATACGTGTAACTATTGATTGTTTTCTACTGGGACGCGCCCTGTGCCACGTGGCGTCGTTGCTGGGGACGCTCTAGGGAAGGGGTTTCAGAAAGGGCTTAGTTGGTGAGGATCTGAGGCTCGGGCGCCTCATGGTCGCTGTGGGCTCCCCTCTGCAGTGGCAGCTCCGAAGCAGCCATTGACAATACCTAACTGAATGGGCGTGGCTATGTGATGAAACTGGATTCACAAACACAG